AAATAATGCTGACTCACAGCCTGTAAGTATGTTTTCATATTTAAAGGATTTTCCACTATTTAACGCGAGTTTTGAGCAATGTAGAGTAGCGCTAGTTGTTTTGTCGTTTCTCCGATCACAAATGCAGACATCAGATAATCAGTAATTATGTCCCCACTGGATGCAACAAATGCCTCGTTTTGAATGGGTTTTATTGGTTTTGTCTCGTCACACCGGGACAGGCATCACAGTATGGTGAGGGGCGTAAGATTTCCGTCACACGCTTGAGGAATTCGGCCAATCACAACGCACTGGATAGCTGGCCAATCACAGCACACCTCGCTTTTCAGACCGATGAGCTTTGTAAAAATCGACGTTTCAGAAAGGCGGGGCATAGAGGAGAAACAATAATGTACAGTATGTGGAAAATAATGTGTTTTTTGAACCTTAAACCGCATAAATACATTGCATTACACCAAATACACAACATAATGTTCTTTTTTAGCAACGTCATATGACCCCTTTAAAGTTTTCTCTGTGTGAATTCAGAATAAAATACAATTAACTTTTTTGTTTTCTGAGAGCTAGTGTCAAGATTCCCAGTGTTACAATTCCAGCAGTAGAAAATGTAATTTTTGGGAAACTATCGCATTGAGATCCAGCCACCAGACTGTCCATGATCTGAATTGCGCGTTCCTAGTACTATTCGGTGCTTCGAGACACAACGATATTACACACTACAGCAACAAAAATGTCATCCTCAAAGGCTGTTTTATTGTTTCGTAACGTAATGTTGGAATGTTTCAGCTGTCGCCATGTGCTCAGCAGTGATCTTGGCGGCAGAGGTTACAGTTCCGGTAACTTGAACAGAAGTTTGACAGACATAAGCCCGCTCCAATCAGATGGAGATTCATTATGACGTATTTCAGTACGCACCAATCCCATAATGGTGGGCGGGAAATATTCAAAGCGTGCTGCTGCATGTGATCACAAAAGAGGCAAAGGAAAGACTAGCTCACGGCCAATCAGACTCGTTAAGCTCCGTATAGACGCTTACGCAGAGCAAAGAGGATTGATGCAGATGAGTGACCGCGAAACTCTTGGTTTATTAAACAGAAAGAACTGGAATCCGGTCCGTGTTATTGTGAGCTAGATTAATTCGCCTACTAGGTATCAAGCGAGTGATAAAGTTGTCGGGGGAGAAAACCATGCTGTTGTTTGTGGAGGTGAGTTATAATGAGGTCATTTTGGCGACCGCGAAGGTTTTTCACAGCTGCGGCATGGATTGAACTCATGGCAGGCGCCATCGAGCTGAACAAGGAGAATAATTTGTTGTTTTTGTAGTGCAGTTACCATTATTCTTATTGTTTTTTTTTTTGTTTGTTAAAAATGGTTATTAGCGATAACCAATATTAGTTGAGTTGCTATGCAAGACTTTGTTTATGTGGACGCGAACTGACCGTCGACAGCGAAGGATCCACGTGCGCGCGCAACAAATGCTAGCTATTTAGCCAGCCTCTTGTATTTGCGCTAAATGCGTAACTTTTATCAGTGCAGTTCACAACTAAAGTAATGACCACATCAAATGCTGAAGGTGTCCACCAATTTCCTCTTTTTTTTAATTTAACCTTTAGATTAAAAATAACTTTAGCCCGTCCAAATCCGATAAAGCGCTGGTCAGGTTAACGAGGCTGCGTTTCAGATGCAGGTTTGTAGCTCTTTGCTCTGAACTCTCGCTCTGGTTTATCGAAGTGGCTAATCAGATTAAATGGGCGAAAGGCCGACTATTTAAAACCACCTGACTGTAAAAGTAATAGATCTTGTGAATGAGGTTCATCCCTGATCGAGCGCAATAGTATAGAGAAGTTGTGCACAGTTCTGGTTTTCCAACTCGTGAAGTGTGTTAATATGTAGTGCCCTTGTCTGTCCTGTGGCGTTTGTATTCCTTCACCGTGCTCTTCAGACGTCCTTCGCCAAGGTTGTGGCTATAATGCAACGTTTTATTTGTTGAGAGAGCACATGTAAGCTATATTTTATATTATTCGCATTGCGACTTTACAGCAGGGTGCAAGCGGTGTTGTAATTTGTGCCTCGGCGTGTCATGTGAAACTTTGATAGCGTCGCATCTGTTAACAATTGAAAGACCCAGTCACATTTTTGTATCTTCTTCCCCCTCAATGAAAGTGATAATAAAAGTAGTGAATAAAGAGTTTTTAAAATCATTTTGTTTGGGGTGAATGTTAGGAAAAACGTTGCAAAAATGCAATGCTGTGTCAAAAACCATTCACAATGCTTTATCAATGCATTACTGTTCCATTATTTTACTAATCAAGAAACGTATTTACTTATGTTGCCCACTGTTGCATTTTTGGTGCACTTGAAAATGTACATTGTGCAAGTTGAGTGGAATGTGATCATTTTGTAATAGCTTAACATGTTGGGAATTGAGAAAAATTTAAGTCAGATACTTGTAAAGTTACTAAAATGATCCATGGCCTATCTTATCAATGGCCTTGTTCACCTGCTGCAAGCTTTGACGGATTTTATCACTACCAAAAATGTTGTTAAATATCAGCTGACACTCTGAACTGTGCACTTCACATAGTGTAACTCTTTAATTGCTTTGGTTTTCAGGATTTCTTTCCTGTTTAAATTTTTTGTTTTTTGGGGATCACCCTGCCACTATACTGTGAAACAGGGAGGATAAGGTTTTAGGTTTGCCTAAAACACTGACGCCCTACTACATTGAGTTGCCAGTTCATTAAACACTTACTGCACATGAACTTTGATAAGGTTGTGCAACTATTAGATGGCTGTCTGTTTCTGACTACATAATGATGGGTAGATAAATGATCAGCAGTGTTCTAGTTAAGTCTTATAATCGTTTACTAAAGCTACAGTTAGCAAATGTTGACAAATTTCTGCTGATTTTATTCTACTGTGATGTGAAAATCTAACTGTAAAAATTTGTATTATGTTAACCCAGAATTTGTTTAACCTTGTCTTCAAGGTGACCACCAAGGGGGCTGGTCTGAATCCCAATGCTAAAGTGTGGCAGGAAGTGTCTGCACCAACTACCCAGACTCCAGAGGCAGCCACAGAGACGTGCCATTGGCCACAAGCAGATACTGTCTCCACCGAGGAGTCAGAAGGTACATATATTGATTGGCAGTTGTTTAGTGCTGTAATTAAATGTGTAAAAATTGACATCATATGTTATCTTATCTGAAATTGTTCATGCAGAAATTAACCTCATGTCCTTAAAAGCCATATGCTTTGATTTATGTGTGGAATAAAAGGGGAACGTAAGAGATTTTCTACACACCAGTTTGTTGCAGTAGGCTGTTAATAAGAGAATTAAAAGCAACACAAAATTAGTTCATACACGTTTTATGTTCAAGCCTGTAGCCAGTTGTTTTGACATCTGCTACCATTGGTTCCCATGTGTCTTAAATACATTTTATGACATTTTTTTCGTAACTATTTCTTTAAGGCAGGGATTCCCAAACTTTTTTCATCAGCTGATTTTACATAAAATATTTACTTTGAGTACCCAGTGGGATTATAAATTAATGTATATAAAGAAACACATTTGAATGGTTCTCTGGTGTTGGTTAATGGACACATGACATGCAGGTAAAATCATAAAAAATATATATTACCCCAGGGGTTTGGGAAACCCTGCTGCTTTAAGGGAATGCTGATGCAGTTTGTCTAATGGGAAATGGCTAAATTCATGGTGGTGTTTTGTTGATTATGAAATTAATCTGGTGTGTTCCATATGCAATAGCAACAACGACCATTTTGAATCATGATGTTAAAGTTTGCTAAAACACTGTGATGATCCGTATTGCGCCCAGAACCATTCTCACTGTAGAGATCTTTCATCCTCATTTCTCCTCTATCTCACTCCTTCCATTCTCTTCTTTTTCAATCTCTCTCTAATTCTCAAACTAAATTTCTTGGTCATTCTCTCAATGGAGTGTGTCTGCCCTAATGACCGTGAGATTATGAGATCTGAGGGTTAAATGGCCTATTGCTGTTCTTACATGGTAAAAGATCGGTAAGCTTCCAAACTCGTTTGCTACTGTCGTTCCTCCTCTAGGTTTCAAGGAGTATGGTGTTGGCTATGGTGACTCGGAGTCAGCCCCTCCTATGGAGAATAGCATGTTGAATGGCATGGAGTCTGCAGAACTGGCTTACCCACTCTACGAACCAGGTCTGTCACACACACCCACTGTCACACTTTAGTTGCACTCCATTCCAGTGCTGCTTACTGGCTGATTATCATTGGGGGTGTGTATGTGTCTTGTGTTGCTCAGTGGAGGGTGAGGCGGTCGAGGTGCAGCCTCCGCTGTCTGAAGAGAGTCTGAAGGAGTCACTGAAGAAGCAGCTGGAGTTTTGCTTCTCAAGGTAATGCCCAGACATGCTAACACCTGCTCCCCCATATTATGTAATTATGTCATAATGGACCCATAATATTGAAAAGATTTGATGTGGATGATCCGATTGAAGCCATTATATTTGGCAGTATTGTAATTGTCAGTTGCAAAATAAGGACCGTTTAATTTGATATGATAAAAAAAAATAGGGGTTGAACGGCTTCTGATTTTTTGAAGTCGACTTTGTGATGAAAGTCGAGTCGAAGTCTACTCACCCCTGATGACGTCATTAATGAACAAATAAGTCTGGAGCTGTGACAAACACCTTGTGCACAGCTATAGCGTATGACACAGCGCTGCCCACATGGCTATTGCTCTTATAACAGCTTTTTTATCAGTTTTTTTGTATTTGGGTTGTTATATTTCTGCTCATTCTAAATCAGATACAGATAAAGTAGCACAGTAAAGATTACATTAATATGAATGCATTAGTGAGAGCGATTGCGTGTGTGAATTAATTCTACCTGGCAGCGTCTCTCTACTAGTAGTGAAGCTGTGGAATTTAGTTATTAAGAAATAAATGCTTGAACTTTTCAGTTTCTAAGCTATTTTATTGAGAAATCACAGAACAGTGTTGACAATACATTTCCGCGCTGAATGATTCTGTGCGCGTGATGTACGCGCGCTACTGTCTGTAGCCTATGTTGTGTGCGTTACAGTGCAGCAGCGCATTAGATTAGAACGGCGATTAACTTACCTACCTGTACAATAAGCAGTGTTGGGAAGGTTACTTTGAAAATGTAATAGGCTACAGATTACAAGTTACCCTATTTAAAATGTAATAGTAGTGTAACTGTTTTAATTACTTTATTAAAGTAATGTAACTGACTACATTTGATTACTTTTCTAAATTTAAATTTCTAAATTTTTCTAAACTGTTAATCGTTTTGAAACACGTAAAGCAGGCAGGGTTAACCTTACAGTAGTGCTCAACACTGATTACTGTCAGACTTTCTAAATCCTTCATCATTTGAGTTAAGATCAAACGTGTCCTAAACTCCTGAAACATTGGTGTCTCATATTTTAGAGCAGTCAATGCAATTTTGGAAAGAAATCAATC